AAAATCTTCTAAGTATTGATGACCAGAGGATCGATGAGGATGCTCTTTCCATCACATCCCAGATCAACAATCAGTCCTCTGGTTGTACTCCAGACTTAGCCGTTTCTGCCTTGATATCTTCATCGATCCTCTGGTTCTTCATCACTCATTGTTTTTCATTACTTTTTACAATATGAGTTATGGAGTTTAACAGAGTATGTAGCTGCAGCCAGCTGCTGTTCCCAAGTGATATGGATGAAGACTCAACTGAAAGACTATGGCGTCGAATTTGAGAAGATTCTGATTCTGTGTCACTCAGAAAGTGTTATCGCAATCACAGCAAATCCAATGCAACACCAAAAAACAAAGCACATCGATGTTCGATATCATTTCATCAAGGACCATGTAGAGAAAGGTACGATTGAAATGTTTTTTGTTAGTAAAGATTTACAACTTGCTGACATATTTACAAAAGCTCTTGATGAAAAGAGGTTTAATTTTCTGGTTAGCAAGTTGGGTATGCTCAATCTTTCAAACTAAGCCAGAGCCTCTGCATCCCCTTATGCATGCTTCTGTTTATGTTGTTATTTATATTGATCCATGAGACAGAGCCTCTGCATAGTACATGCAGAGCCTCTGGCTCTGATCCTAGTTGTTTTGTGATACAGAGCATCTGTATAGTACATACAGAGCCTCTGTACCTTGGTTCTTATGCTTGTACAAGTCCTATCACAAATGATCCAAGCATAGTTCAAGGGGGAGCAGATAAGAAGAGCTAAAGTCAAGGGGGAGCACCAGATCATGTCACACAGAGCCTTTGTATGTACCAAACAGAGCCTCTGCTTCAAAACTTTTCATGATTATAGGATAGAGCCTCTGTATGTGTTATATAGAGCCTCTGCCTCTAAACATAGCAAGTTTTCTATATAGGACATGTATCGTCTAATCACGAGTCTCTGTATGAGATCCTAAAGTATGTTATCTACTTCTGCATATAATACTCTGGTTTTTTACAAAACCTCTATTTCACACTAACCAGAGTATTTACACTTAGTAAAATTCTTTTGAAAATCAAAATATATTATTTTATTAAGAAGGCGTACGGTTTTATTTTTTTAATTTTTTAATAGTTGTCACCTACATTAAGTGTCACCGCCTGTGAGCTTATCTTTTGAAACGTGAAAGGCGCCACTTGCAGCTAGCAATCCACGTGGCGTGCCTCTACAGGCTGTGAAAAATCGGTTCAGTTTTTTACCTGACGTTTGGGGCGTTGAACACTCAAGTGTTTTTATTTTATTCTATTTAAACAAATTTTACCCCCAAATTAATCTTTTACGCTTACAAAGATTTTCAAGAACTTCCGTCGTCTTCAACCTTCAACCACCATTGTTAAGCTTTCAAGCTCCCAAACCAGTGATCGGAATCCCATTCAGTCTTTCAACGTTCATCCAGTTTGTCAAGTAAGTCCCAAAAACCCTTTCCTTCAACTCATTACTCGATTCAAGAACTGTTTCTTGAAACCCTAGATTTTTTTTTATCTTCTTCCAAACCCAAAAACTGCAACCATGTCCTTCTCATAATCTGGAAACTCCCAAACCCGTACCACAACCCACAAACCTATGGAGGATACCAGTCAAAACCTAGTTCCTCTTCCAATCAAACCGAATAACCATGCCCTTCACCTCCAACTTGAAAACTTTGACACCAAATACCATCCCATCATCAATATCCTCCAAAATCACTTCTTAAAACCAACTTTGACAAACACGGATGACCTTGTTCCTGAAAGGTACATCCAAGAATACTGGCAATCTTGTGCCGTAACTGAATCTCAAAGAGGAATCGTAGGAGATTTCTTTGTCTCTGCCCAACAAGAATTTGTTACAGTTCATATTTCAAGATCCATGTTTTCGCAGGTTCTTGAAATCCCAATGAAAACCGACTTATAGCTTTCTGAGTACGCCCCTCTCCCTTCTGGGGACGAGATAGTGGCCTTCTTGAAGTTTTTGGGGTACAACAAAGTCATCCAGTACCCGTCACAGTATCGCCGTCAATACCTACCACCAATGTGGAACACACTTTTCGCATTGGTCAACAAATCACTGACAGCGAAGATAGGGAGCCTCAACATGTGCTCAACAAATGTTCTTCAGATCGTCTACGGAATCTTCTTTGACTTATCTCTCGACTACTCCTTGATACTCTACACAGAGTTCAAGGCTGTCGTGGCCAAGAAGTGGCCAAAGGAAGACAGTTGCCATCTCTGTTATTTCCACGATTCTTGGGTCTTCTTCTAAGACCAGCTATCGACGACAACAATATTGATGTGGGTCGTCTACCTACTCACAAGGTAAACGTGCTCACTCAATACAGACCTACAGTGAACAAGGAGGGTTATGAAGCAGAGAGGCCTATTCCAAAGAGGCTCATGTGTTATATGAAGTCCAAGGAGATTAGAAGAGCGTATAGACGTATACGCGAGACACTAGGACCAGTGTTTAAACCCCGTTGTGCATAGGAACAGCCGAGGAAGAAGAGAGGACTAAGGACACATCAAGGCCTCAAACAGAGGGAGAGACGGTGAGAGCAGGTGAAGAGAGGATGAGAGCAGAGGAAGAAAGGGTGCGAGTAGAGCAAGAGAGAGCGAAAGAAAGAAAAAGAGAGGAGGCGAGGAAAAAGAGAGCTGAGAGGGAGAAAAAGAAAAAGGAAGAAGCCGAGCGAGCAGAGCAAAATAGATTGGTTGAGCTTGCTCGTGCTAGAGCAGAGGAGGAGCGAGCAAAAAAAACTCGCCAGGAAGAAATCGTTCGACTGAGGGAAGAGGCCAGACTCAGAGCAGAGGAAGAAGCTCGTCAAACCTTGGCTCATTCCTCTAGTCCAAACCAAGAGGATGACCACACTACGACGATGCTGCAAGGTCTTACACAAGTGAGGGAAGTGAGAACGAAGAAGAAGAAAGCACAGAAGAAGAGAGTGAAGAAGAAAAGAGTGAGAAAGAAGAGGAAGAAGAAGAAGAGGAAGAAGAAGAGGGAGGAGGTGCAGCAACTGCTTTGCCTAAGGGTGAGCCAGAGCAGCCTAGGATAAATAGGCATACTGAATTTACCAGCCCAACTCCCGGTGCAAATGAATCATCTGACTCCAGTGGTCGAGACATAGGAGTCATTGAAACAAAGGTGCACACCTTGTACCCTAGCCAGCCTATCCAACCAAAGGTCGCATCTGCCTCTGGTTATATCAGCCAAAGGGAAGCCTCACCACAGGGAACACCCTCTTAAAATGGTGTAACCTTTAAAAACATAAGTGATATGACTCCCTATATCACGCCACTTTCCCAAACAGAGGAGTTTGTTTCCTCTGCATGTGTAGATTCCCAACCTTGTTTAGAGCAAGGAATAGGTGCACTTGGCTTGGAGACTCTCGACCGGTCCCTTAGTCCACTCATGGAGAGCCCTCTGGCTGGCTCTGAACCAGCCTTGGGTCCTGTCCCTGACTTAACAGAGGTAGTAAATTCTCCTCGAGGAGAACCACGAGGATCCTCTGGAAGCCCTTCCCCGACTAACGTCAATTAAGTCGTGAATGAAGGCGTCCCTAGAACGGGGACTCAATTTGGCCCATGTGTTGAGCCAGAAGTTACACCACCTACATATGTCACTAGAGAAGAGATCGATTCCTTTTTCACCTCTATGTGGTGCTCCTTGGAAGAGCTAAAACTCATCATGGCCCGTGCAGAGCCGTCCCCTTCTACACCTGCTCTGGATGAGATACGAGCATCCTTGGCAGTATTAAGAGCTGAGTCTATAACGAATGCTTCTCGTATCAATACACTCATGGAATTGACGGCACACAATACAGAGACACTACAATAGGTCATTGCATCAATACAGAGGGTTGAGGAGTCCACATCACATGGCACCCAGGCCCTCATTCCCTTGAGCGTACCTGTAGATTATGTCACACAAAGCGCAATGAATGCTCTGGGTGACAGACTTCTACAGAAGGTGGCGGACTTCACTGTAGACTTCAATAGCAAAGCCACAAAAGCAGCGAAGGATATCAAAGATACACTTGCCAAATTCAACTACCGCTCAGACGAAGAAATGCGAAAGGTTGGAGTTGCAGTCGACGAACTCCTCAAAGTCATTGAGGAGACGATCAAGTCAATGTCCCGAGCAGAGGACCAGAGGCCCAAGCGACGGATGGACCAGTCTACTTGTGCTAAACTGTTAAAGAGAAGGCGACTTGACAGAGTACGCAATGGACATGGTTGCTCCTTCAACCAGAGCACAAGAAGAAGAAGAAGAGGTGGTAGCTGTGAATGTGGTTGATCCGTCACTTCTGCACATTCCAGTTGCCATTCCTCTATAAGAAGTCACTGTTGCTGCTCCTCCACCATATCCAAAGACCCACAGAGCTAGAGTCCCTGCCCAAGGGACCAGGGTTGTCACTTTTGCGATGAGGCAGTAGGTACTTGTCAAGCCACACAGAGCGGACACAGAAGGCACAACCAGCGGGCAAAAACAGAAGTATCCTTCTGATCGGATGAACTAAAAACAAGATAAAGCCTATTAAGTTAATTCGAGAGGAGACAAAAATGTGAGAAGTTAAATAATCAATAGAGTAATAGATCGTATCTTCAGCTGGAAATGACAATCTTAGCCAATTGTAACCGAGATCTAGGGATTTAAGGATTGGAAGAGCACTTAAAGATGTTATAAGGCTTTCATTGAAATTATTCCCCCGAAGATTTAGAATTTTCAACTTCTTCAATAAAGAAACTTGCTCGAAGCCTGTAATACCAACGAAACATTTATAAATGCATATTCAAATCAAAAATTAACATATTCAACTGATTATTTTTTATATTTTTTAAACTGATTATTCATAAAAAATGAGAAAAGAAAAAAATGTCAAATTTGCATTTAATGGAAGACCAAAAAAATAATTGGGAATGAAAGAGTATTTGTGTGTAAAGAGAAGAGATTGCATTCAAATCCGAGAGGAGCAATGCCTCTTGAATGAGTTTAACATCATATTCATTACCTTTCATATCATAGTTTCTAGAAAGATCTAATATCTCCAAGTTTTCCAAAGCTGCAATTTGTTCAAAATACATGTATTTTAAACATATAATTAGAACATGCAAGTTATTGCAAATATTAATTAAGAAGGACCAAAGACATGCCAAGGGTAGGCAAGTATCCTTCCAACTTATTGTAACCAAGATTCAAAACTCTGAGTGAAGTCAGAGCACCCAATAAGTGAAAGGTCTCATTTCCAATGCTATTATGGCTAAGATCCAGTGTCTCTAGCTTCCTCAAACTCGACAACCTTCCAAGTCCTGTAACGTGATATCAAGGACGGTAACTTTAAAAATAAATAGCTAATAATAGAGTCAACATATTCTACTTGGTCAACTTACAAGCACCATATTGCATCACTGTGATGTTCATGAATATGAATAGAGTCAATGTGCTCGTAATTCATGGTCAAACATGTATATGATATCAATTTTAATAATTCCATATCAAGCAAATATGGTAACTCATATTACCTGTGTTCACAATATTGTTATCAAGGCAATTCCATGACAAATTGAGACTTGTTAACTCTTTAAAATTAAGAAACACAGAAACATTTAATGGCCAAATACTCTTGCAGTCTTCATAAAATTGCTCTGGAAGCCCCACCATGTTTCTCAAAGTCAGGTTTGTTACATGTCCAGTGGTTGTGTTGCACGTGACCCTCTCCCAATCACAACACTCGCCACCGATACTGCCATCATCAACCCAACTCAAGAGAAATCCGTTCAAATCGAGAAAGTTTGAATCAATAAGGGAAGTTTTGATTTCTAGCAGCACCTTTCTCTCCTCTTCTATACAACCACCATCTATTCGACAAACCATGAGAATAAGAATCGTTATCAATATCAACAACCATGATTTAAGCTTACTCACACACCAACACTCCATTTTAGCTGCTACACTAATTAAGAATGATGGCTTTTTAGACACACTCACAATAAGACTTACTTTCTCCTTTTGGGTTGGCCTTTATATAGAAGAAACAATCTTGCTAACACAATGATAATTGCAACTTGTGCGGGACCACAATATTCAACTTACCCGATAATAAATTATAGTGTTAACTCTTATCGATAAGCGCTTACCGGGTAAATATTTAGGTAAACAACCCCTAAAATCAAACATTTTATTTCAAAAAAGAGTAAATTATAAGATAAGATAATAAATTATAGTGTTAACTCTACAGCTTAATATAAGTCATAATAGTCAATTCTCGTTATGCATAAGTCTACTTCATTGATTGACAACCACAACTTTTATCTTTTAGAGAGATAAGATAATGTAAATGCATTAATCACTTCCAAGCATACGAAAAGAAAAAAACATTTTTCCAACAAAACTTTCAAATTTCTCTTTGTTTTAGGAATATTGCAAAATAATTGTAACTCATTTAGTCAATGGTCAATTCTAATCAAACTGTATTTCATTCTCAACCATGCTATATGCTTGTAGAGTTGAATTGATAGCATCATATTGGAGTGTGTATCACTCTTAATATTTTCATGACTTTTCAACAAACTTCCAAGTTTCCATGTGAAAAAATTGTTATGTACATCAAATAATTTATTATATACATACCAATGCTATATATGTATAAGATCAAACTTTTTAAATCCATTTGAAAGCTATTAACTAATAATAATTTGGCATGTTGATCAGTCTATAATCAAGGTTTTAAAGTACAGAAATGCGAGGCAAGGTAGTAAATTTTGTTAACTGTGGATAGGGGTACTTAAAAATCCGATCAATCCAATCCAACCCAACGCAAAATAACTCAATCAGAAGCAACACAATGTCTAATCGAGTTGTAAAAGTTTCAAATCATAAGTATTGGGTTGATATTGAGTTACTATTATTTAAACTCAACTCAACTCGATGAACCCGAATTTCTTTTATTTTATGGATTTAATATGATTGTTGAATTTCTATTAATATATACATTAGACAATTACATTATCACGTATGCTCTTCATATACACATATTTTCAATCTATTTACATCTCTATATAACTCATTCGTATATATGTTCAGTAATTGTGAACATATATATGTAAATTGAGAAAATTAACTGAAGATAATCGTTGGGTTAGCCTTGTAATTAAGGTCCTTACATCATCTCCGACAAGGTTTTTTACAATTTTTTCAAAATAGATAGACAAAAGTAAAAATTTATATTCAACTCGAATATTGGTTAGAAAATGAACAAATAAGCAAAAAAAAAAGAAAAACAATTAGTACACATTCTTTCCTCTCAAATAGTTTTGCAAATTTCTTCAAATATGAAGAAATTTTGAGGGGTGAACAAGGTATGGTCCATATATTTTTTTAAATACCATGTACCAACTAATTATAATTTATGCGTAAAATTTTATAACATATACCAACCAAATATACTTGATACCAATTTTCTTTGTTGATACATCTTAGTATGGTTTTGTACCAACATCGTTAAAGTTGAAGTTACAAATTATTTAAATTGATATTTTTATCAGTTAAATTTAGATTCACAAAGACTATCAAACATTCACATAACATGTTGATATGTGTGGTACCACTTATCTCTACCTATACAAGCACTCAAATAATTTTTATATAATAAACTAATTCATTAATAGTCTAATGTAGGTGGCCATTGAGGAGATGCGATGGACCATAGAGGCATGAACGAGTTACTGAGTGTTGGGGTTAGGTGAATGAATTCAATCAAGTTTCATATATTCATCAGGATTATAATTTAGCACAATTTAAAACAAGATAATATAAAATTTAACCACAAAGGCATTTGGTCTAGCGACATTTGAGCCTTTAGCCTTGTAGGAGGTCAGGGGTTTAAACTTTATCAAATGTAAAAAGGGTGTGTGACTTTATTTGTTGCATTTGTTGTATATAAATATTATATACTTCTAAAACAAATTAAATTTAAATTTAAAATCAAGATATGATGTATTATTGATTGCCCTAGTACACGACTTCTAAAATCAATTTTAGGTAGGAATTGTTGGTTTGTCTTATGATCACTTCCAAAAAACATATAGTATGAACCAAAAGCATTGGAGCATTATGATCACCTCCAAAAACGTATGAACTAAAAGCAGTCATTATTTTCCAACAAAAATCCAAATCTTAATTTGAATAGGAATATTGTAACATCAATTTCAACCCAAGAATTCCACATTGACGGCTCCGTCCATGAATCTATATCTCTCGCTTGTAGTTGTAGATAAGATGATTACATCGGATTGGAGTATATATCACTCACAATATTTTCTTGACTTTTCAATAAACTTTTAAGTTTCCATGTAAAAAATCAGTTTTTTTAAAGAAAAATTGTTTTGTAAATCAAATGATTTATTGATTATTATAGTAATAATATGTTGGTATCAAATCAAAAACCTCAATCGATGTGAAACGATATGAAAATAAATAATATTTTAATTAAAAAATTAAATACATTAAATGATATCAAAGATCAAATTGTAAAGGGAATGTCGAATATAAACATGGTTCATCATACACTTTTTCAAAACGATGACCATTTTCGACGGAATTCAAAACATTTTAGACAATATATTTTTCGGTAAACAAAAGAAACCCTTTGAAAATAAAATAAATTCCAGGGGTTCTCGACGAATTTACGACGGAAGTTTTGGGACAACTTTACGACATAAATAATTTCCGACGAATAGAGACTTGAGTCAAACTGAATTGATTACAAATTTACACTGAAATTGTGCGCACTTCCCTTCCGTTATTAGACTTGCGACTTGCCAAACAAGAAGGGGGAAGTTAGGGGCCGTTTACCAAACGCTTACTCGGGTAAGTGACTACCAAGTCATTTTATCTTACCGGATGAATATGGTAAGGATCAAGAATCTTACCCGGTAAGAGCGAGACAAGGACCAAGAGTCTTACCCGGTAAGTGAAGGCGACATTCTTACCGCGGTAAGCGCTTACCGGGTAAATTGTTGCATACGATACCATTTTGGTGGACTAAAATCTTATCCGGTAAGTAAATAATAATGTTAAATTTACCGATAAACGCTTATCGGGTAAGTGTTTGATAAACGGCCCCTTACTCTGTGTCATATAATGTCTTTTACTACTAGAATATTGGGTATTGACAACATATATTTTTGACGGAAATTTCGGTCGAAAAATTTAGTCGGAATTTAGACAGAACATCGTTTACTTTACTTGAAAAAATTAGATGGAACCCCGATCCAAATATCCGGATCTGGTACTCGCCTCTTTCACCCGAACGCCTTCTCATTACTATAACCGCCATGAACAACCACCGTACCTTCAAATTCCATTGTTTTTTGTTTAAGTAGCTGCTAACGTAGTATCCTAATGTGTTAGCAGTCGATCCTTAACCACATATACTGATTTAGTTCCACCAACTCAACCAAAACTGTGAGTAAATTCATTGTCGAATATCGTGCATACTAAAGCTCGATCCAGGTTGGTTTTTTTTGATCGATTTCCATAACTTCTCTTTATTAATTTCTACATCATGATTTTGTAATTGTAATCCGTTGTTCTTGAGTTCGATAGCAACCTAAATAGCTTTTTATCCTCGTCCCCAAATCCCAACTATTCGACTCATATCAACATACTAAACAATAATATGAAGTGAATCAAAGCTTAAATTTGTAAAACTTACCTCCAATCGATGATTTAGAGGTTGAAGAACCCTAGAATTTCGATCTCAGATTACAGCTGCTACACGTCGTGTTATTAGTAAATACTTTCAGAGCTTTGAAGTGGATTTGACTGTGAAGGATTTGATGTATTTATTTGGGTGATTATCGGATCATTTCTGTTGTCTTTCACGTATCCAAAGTCACAGTTCGAGAGAAGAGGGCAAATTGTTGGCTCTGTAGTTATGCTATTCCTTTTGAACGAATGGCAAGACAGGCCCTTTGGCTTTTAGTCTTGTCATTTGTTACCCTAAGCTTTAATATATCATACTCATCTCTTACGGGTCTAGTTTTAATCTATTGAAAATTAAAATTTCAATATTTCGGGCAATTTTAAGTGAATCAACTAATATTCAATTTTGAGATTGAGAACATTCGATTGGGACGAATCCACACCGGAAACATGAAGGTGGCGTTTGGTTTGCAAAATATTTTTGGATAGAATGAAATATGTTGAATGAATTTGACTTTAAAAGAATTGGAATGCAATATTGTCATGTTTGACCATATGTTTGATTGGCAAACATTATTGTAATTTTAAATTGTTTCTTTGAATTTTCTTTTACATATTATAACTATGAGTAACCTATTAATTTGAATGACAATGACATGACACAAGTCATCACTTTTTCATATCATGTAACTGTCCATGTAGGATATCTACGTATAAGATATTACTAATGTGACAAATTTGTTTGATTTTTCCTCAATATGTAGCTTTCATTTTCTAACTTTTCTTTCACGTTAGTGGTCCTTGGATTGAAAATCATGTACGTATCTTAATCATTCTCTTAAC